CTGAGCAGGGAGCCCGATGCAGGGCTTGATCCCAGGACTCTGGGATCATGACCTGAGCCGAAGGCAGACGCTTAACAACTGAGCCACCCAGGTGCCCCAAGAATTTTTTTTTTTTTTAAATGGAATGCTTCACAAACCTGTATGTCATCCTTGCACATGGCAATGCTAATTTTCTCTGTATTGTTCCGGTTTTAGTATGTGTGTTGCTGAACCGAGGACAAAATACCAGAATTTAGAATGGAATCGAAACTAGGTGACTCATTTTTGTATACACAAATATTTTCCATAATTATATTTCGTATTAATTTTCCTTAGACCTTTACTGTTTTCTTTACTGTAGTTCTACCAATTACTCATATTCTAGGCTTGTAGAGAGTAGAACTCATGTTTTCTTTTCCTATTTAACTGAGCCATTTGTTTCTCCCTGGGGTAGTTTTATTTAATTGGAAAACTAAACATTGCTTGTTAATTAATAGATGTTACCTACAGGGTATTATTTCATAGTAGAAGAAGAGTTCACTAAGACATAATATATAATATAATGTAAAACTTGACTACAAATCAAATGAGTAAACAAGTTGGGGCATCTAAAAGCTTTGGGCGGTCTTATATACTTTGCAAAAACAAATGCCTTCAAGATTAATGGTCTATGAATTTGACATTTAGATCCAGTTCCTGGAGTGAAAATAGATAATCAAAAATACGTTTTTATTTATTTATTGTTAATAGTATGATTGGAGTATCACGGATATACAATGAACTGCATATGGGTACAATCGGTAAGTTTTGACATGTGTATACATCTGTGAAACCATCTGTCATCCCCAAAGTTTGTTCATGCCCCTTTAGAATCTTTCCCGTCTGTCCTTCCCATGCCCTCTTCCCAGGCAGCCACTTATTTGCTTTCTGTCACTGTTGATTAGTTTCATTTTGTACAGTTTTATAGAAATAGAATCTTGCAGTACATACATTATTTTATTTGGTCTGGCCTCTCTCTCAGAATTACTATTTTGAGATTCATCCATGCTTTTCATGTGTCATGTGTTCCTTTTTTCTTATATCTGAGTTTCATTCCATTGTATGGGTATACAACTATTTGTTTATCCATTTGCTTTTTTTTTTTTTTTTAAGATTTTATTTATTTGAGAAGAGAGAGAGAGAGCAAGCATGAGGAGGGGGGTTAAAGCAGAGGGAGAGGGAGAAGCAAACTCTCCGCTGAGCAGGAAGCCAGACATGGGGCTTGATCCCAGGACCCTGAGATCATGACCTGAGCCAAAGGCAGACACTTAAGCGACTGAGCCACCCAGGTGCCCCTATCCATTTGCTTCTTTATAGACCTTTGGGCCATTGCCAGTTTTTAGCTATTAGAGATAAACATTCACATGCAAATCTTTGTATGGAGATTCACTTTTCTCTTGAGTAAATACCTAGGATTGGAATGACTATCACATGGCACATGTTGATGAACTTTTTAAGAAATTGCTAAACTGTTTTCGAAAGTGGTGGCACCATTTCACATTCCCACCATTGGTGTGTCAGTTCTAGTTCCTTCACATTCTCACCAACACTTGTTATAGTTGGTTTGTTAATTATTTTCCTCATGACTAATGACTAAGCTTTTATGCCATCTATATTAGTCTCCTCTGGCTGCTGTGATATATTACCACAAACTTGGCTTGAAACAAGAACAGATGGTTATTCCCTTGCAGTTATGGAAGCTAGATGTCTGAAATCAGTTTTACTTAGCTAAAATCAAGGTGTTAGCAGAAAAGCCTGTTCCTTGTCCGTTCCAGCATCTAGAGCTGAACTTCTTGAATTCTTTGGCTCAGGGTCCTTTCCTCTCCTCCATCTTTAAAGCCAGTGGCATAACATCTTCTCTCTCTGACCTCTGTTTCCCTCTACTTCCATCATATGGCCTTCTCTTCTATGGTCAAACTTCCTCTGCCTTCCTCTTATAAAGAACATGTGATTGCATTTAGGGTCCACCCATATAATCCAGAATACTGTCATCTCAAAAATCCTTAATTTACCTCACATCTACAAAGTCTTTTTTTCTTTCTTTTTTTTTTTTTTTGGCCAGAGATTAGGACATGGATAAATTTTGGGAAGCCATAATTCACCTACCATATCATTCATTATTTTTTCTTTGATAAAGTATATGTTCAATCTTTGGCCCATTTTTTGTCTCTTTTAATTCAGTTTTGAGAGTACTTTATATAAGTCCTTTATGAGCTACATTCTTTGCAAATATTTTCCTCCAGTGTGGCTTATCTGTTTATTATCCTAGGAGTGTCTTTTGAAGGACAAAAGTTTCTAATTTTGAGCCCATTTTTTTTCTTATATGGATCATGCTTTTGGTGTCCTAAGAAATCTTTGACAACCCAAGGTGATAAAGGTCTTCTCTTATGTTTTTTTCTAGAAACTTTATAGTTTTAGATTTTTACATTCAAATCTATGATCTATTTTGAGTATTTTTTCTTATACAGTACTAAATATGAATCTAAGTTCATTTTCTTGCATGTGGATTTCCAAATGTCTGAGCACCTTTTTTTGAAAGCCTCTTCTTTCTGCATTGAATTGCCTTTGCAGCTTTGTCAAAAACCATTTGTTTATGTAAGTAGGGGCCTATTTCTGAACAGCTTATTCTGTTCCATTGATATATTTGTCTATCTTGATGCCATGCCACACTACCTTAGATTACCACAGCTTTATAAGATGTTTTGAAATCAGTAGTATGAGCCCTCCAGTTTTGTTGTTTTTGAAGCTTTTTGGCTATTCTATGTTCTTTATATTTCCATGTGAATTTTCAGTGTTTGTCAAGTCCTAGCCAAAAACAAAACAAAAACAAAAGGAAAATCCTGTTGAGATTTTTGATATGATTGCATGGAGTTATAGATCAATTGGGGGAGAAGTGACATGTTAATAATGGCAAGCTTACTGACCGATGAACTAGGTATATCTTTCTAACTACTTAGGGCTTCTTTACTTTCACTCAGCAATTTTTGTTTTTTTTTTTAATTTTCAGAAGTCAGGCATTTATTCCCCTGTTCTTTATCTGTATCACATACCATGAAAGAAAATAGGGTGATGACACCAATATCAAAACCTTAAACTTTTCTCCACATTTCTCTGAAAACGTATTTTATTTGGTTTAAATGTATACTTTATTTTTTTTGGGGGGGGGGAGATATTTTGATTGCTTTAAAAGTATTTCTGTTAATATGTCCTTGTCCAAGTAGAGCAAACATTTTCTTATCCTTGATTTCCACAGCATTTTACACAGTTTCTTATGAGAATTTCAACACACTTTGTGTTTGTTGTGTTTGTTTACATCCCATAATTGATGAAGTTAAAGAATCTGGCAGTTAAAGGGTTTAACAACTTCCTCAGGTTCACTGCTAGTTGTCAACAAAGGCACTTGTAGAAGTAGGATTAACTATTTTTGAATTACAGGATGCTTGATTATATTCCAGTAAATAAGCTTTGATTTTTTTTCTTTTTTAAGGACTGTGAAATAGGCCTTTAAGCAATTTTCTATGTACAAATAGTCATCATTTCAGAAAATATAACAAAATTGCTAAATATTGTATCAGTACTTAGTTTCAAGTGTAACCGCCAAAACGCATAGGAGCGAAACATAAGTATCTTCATGGTCCCAGCCCTGTACAACTCAGACTAGTGGGTTCTTTTGCATTCCATCACTATAATAAATGAAGTGCTCTCCTGTATCTATTCTGCAGGTCGAGCAGCATAAAGTAAAAATTGTCTTCTCACTGACTCCCAGAACTTATCACACAAAAAGCCTGTAAGAATTACCATGTTACTTATCAAAGGTAAAGCCCATGGTTATGGCCCTGTGGATGAGTAGGTGGTTTTCAAGACATCGATATGAGTTGTGTAATCATCCTTCTAGTTTTATTACAGTGTCATTTTTTTCCCAAAGAAATAAGATAAATGGAAATGGTTATGACCTAGTGGCTAATTAGTTTAGACTAGTTAAATACCACACATTTCAACTGATTTCAACAAATATTTGTAACATTTACCTCTTTCAGAAGTACAGTTTTAGCAATTAAGCAGAGCTGAATATTTCAACATGCCTGCAGTTGCAAATATGATGCCATCATGTATTTGAAAAGATTAAATTCTTCTCACCAGAAATGCTTTCTGTGTTATAAATTTCAAGGTAAATATCATTTTAGGTTCCATCGTCTTCTGATTTTGCAGATAATATTGATTTCATTTCTAGTGCAGAAAGCGACTGTCCCTATGAGTTGACTAAGCTCTTTGTTGTCAAAGGTTATTACTATTTTTACACCACCCTGGTATGCCAGTAAATGTTTCTCACTTCATTATCATGCGCAGGCCTTTATAATATTGCTTAATACAGGATGGAAATATTTGTCCACTTTTGGTTTGGATGTTTGTGAGCATGAATGATTGTGGGGAATCAAATGTAGTTGTTGAAAGGGTTTTCACTGATGAATAACAAAATCCCTCAGAGCTATGGGTACATGGATTTTTAATAGGTGCATTTATTTGATTACCATCAGCCATTTGTAGTATGTTCCAGTTGCTCCCCGTTAACTGACTTAAAAAAATAGTTAGTAAGCCAAGATTCCTCAGACTTTCTGAGCAAGACTGACTTCTATTTAAATATCAATTCAAATTTATAAAGTATCTAAAAAATACTAAATGATGTTTTCAGCATTCAGCTTATTTTGGAGTTAAGGTTCGACTAACTTGGATGATTTGTTATGTTCCTTTTTACCAGGTTAGCAATAAGTGTTTTAAATATATGGCAGGAAACCTACCTCAGAAGAACCTAAATGACCTATTATTAAAGAAACTTATTTTTAATAATTAGACACTGCATTTGTTTACATGTATACTTCAGAGTGCCTCTGAAAAACTAAATTTCCACATTTTTTAGTTCCTAAAAACAGGGATAGACTTGTTCTAACCAGCTTTCCTTGAGTTTATTTCTAAGTTGCTTTTGGGGCAAATGACTTGAATTGCTGTGTTGTTCTGGTTGATAGTATATGATGATTTAACCCTCAGAACTCCAGCACTGTGGACTTTGGCTTCACTCCAAGTCACCATGAGATACACATAGGGCGTACTTTGTCTTTGCTGAATTCATGAAAACACTGCAATTTCAGAATGTGTGGTACCTGCTCCAAAATAATAAAGTGGCCTATCTATTGTCTTCACTCATG